TCAGCAACCTCTTCCAGTCATATCTCGCCGTTCGCGATCGCGACTTGAAGCCCATGATGCAGCACGACGTGGACGAGTTTAAGAAGGAGATCAAGGACCTGTCTGTGGAGACAGCGTCGAGAAACTACATCAAGCAAACGTTCGAACGCGCCTTCAACGAGTCTAACCTATTTGCCAAAATCTTTGGCCTGGATCTCCAATGGAGCTCAGAACTCGAGTCTGCCTACATGGTTCTCAAGTCAAACAACAGGTCACTCGTTAACCCGGCCAACATCGTGCACCTGGCTACAAACCTGCAATCCGCCCTGCAATCCGCTGACCTTGACACGATCTGCAGTGTCGTCGGCTGGTTGACGAATGAGTACCTGGTTCTCGACTACGATGAAGAGGAGTCTCCTTTTGCTCGTCAGTGCCGAGAACTCAGTGCTAGGCTGTTGACGGAGCACCTGTGGGTCTTCACAGACAACTCTTTCGAGGCGGAGATTACCAAGACTGTTACCAAGGCCGTGGTGAAAGACGACGCACTCACGATCGGGCCCGTTATTAATGGCCTGTCTACGTCCAACGCGTACCCCACGGTGAAACAGGCATTGACGCTGCTGTCCATGTATGATCAAGCCATGCCGAAAGAACGAAGCGTAAGTCATACCGTCCCGATCCACTCGAACCACACAGACTAACACCGTCAACAGCAAAAGAACAGCCAAGTCGTCTTCAAAATTGTCCGCGAAACGATTCAAATTCTGCAACGCGCCGAAGCACGCATCAAGTCCATCAAAGCTGGCACCGACGCCGACCTGTTCATGGTCAAGAACCTCCTCATCATCAAGAACGAACTTGTGTCTCTCGAGATTGGTGACATCCGCAGCGACGCCGCCGCCATGCAGCACTTTGGCCATATTTGGGACCACCTAAGCCCTCAGAACTGGGTCGGTCTTGTCAGCAACATCATCAGCATCGGCTCGCTCTGGTCGCGCGGTGGCACGCAGCAGCCGTCGGTCACGGCGAAGACGTTGACGGTGGAGGATATGAGCGAGCAGCTTGACGAGCTGCTGAGGCAATCGATCGTCGCTTTCACTCAGCGTTGGGGCAAGCTGATGAATGATGCGAGAGAAAGAAAGGTGGGGGTGAAGCCCATTGGCAAGGTCGAGAAGGAGCTGGACGAGGTGCTGCAAAGGGCATTCAGTAACCAACCTGAGGTCATTGGGAAGCTCAAGGAGGCTATCCAGATTAATGCCCAGGCGCAGGAGGCGGCGAACGGGGAGAAGAAGGGCATCAGGCGGTACTAGATATTGGACATTTCAGCGGAAGCCAAACAGCATCGCGATTAATATTCCGACTATACTGGTGCATAGCTTAGCATGATATCAACGATACTTGTTTCTTATTGTTATATGTCTTTCACAGATGGCCCGCCTGTCTGAATTCGATGATAATCTGAATTGATAGATAGGAAGTTATTACACACGATCACATCTGACAACAAAATTTCAGTATACGTTGCGTCGACGAAACTCACTCTATTGTGCTCGCAACTGTCGGGAACGCAGCTGAGTCATCAAGTTGAGGACCACAATGAGCCAAACGGTAGCACGCCATTCGCGCCTTGGATGCATGCCCCACACCAGCTCTCTGGGGAACCGGCAGCTGATAAATAAATCTCACCTAAACCTGAAGCTACTCAAGCTCAGGGTCCTTCAACCAACAACCACCATTTCGCCTCTCGGTCAATTGAAGCCGCCGTGCTCTCGCTGCAGTTCTGCCAGCTAGTCTCGCATCCAGTCGCGAACACAAGACTTTTCATTAAGTCTCTGTCGCAAAAAGAGCCGAGGGAGGCCCCGATAAGCGATTGGGCGCGGGGTTAGATCCAGACCGAGAACACACAATGGCGGACGCGGCAGTCGACCCCGAGATCGCTGGCGGCGGAGCGCTGCAGACGGCCAAGGATCTCTTTGCCGGTGCAGCTGGTGGTATTGCGCAGGTCCTCCTGGGTGAGTTGCTCTGTATTAGGCTCATTTTGTGTCTTATCGTCGAGGCAATCCAAACGGAGAGAGCATGAGTTTGTGTTTCCCGAGTTGAAGCTTCGGCACGGGGCCGACTTCGGAAGAACATCCGAACTCTACGACATCTCACTCCCACCACCGATATTCTCATGATATCTCATCTCAATGAGCCCAATTGATCGGTACAATGAATTGGCATACTAACCGTACTCAGGCCAGCCCTTTGATATTGTCAAGGTCCGCCTCCAGACCTCCACAACCGCAACAACAGCCGTCGACGCCGCCACCCAGATCTACAAGAACGAAGGGCCCCTCGCCTTCTACAAGGGCACCCTCACGCCGCTCCTCGGCATCGGCGCCTGCGTCTCCATCCAGTTCGGTGCCTTCCACCAGGCGCGCCGCTACTTCGAGGCCGCCAACTCCGCCAAGGTCGGCAGTCCCGCGCTCTCGTACGGCCAGTACTACGCCGCGGGCGCCTTCGCGGGCGTCGCCAACTCGGTCATCTCGGGCCCTATCGAGCACGTACGCATCCGCCTGCAGACGCAGCCGCACGGCGCGGCGCGGCTGTACTCTGGCCCGCTCGACTGCGTGCGCAAGCTGTCGGCGCACGGCGGCGTGCTCAAGGGCCTGTACCGCGGCGAGGCGGTGACGATCTGGCGCGAGGCGCAGGCGTACGGCGTGTGGTTCCTCGCGTTCGAGTGGATGATGAACGCGGACGCGGCGCGTAACAAGGTCGACCGCAAGGAGATCCCCAGCTACAAGGTCGCGTGGTACGGAGGCCTCGCCGGCGAGGCGCTGTGGCTCGGCAGCTACCCGTTCGACGTCGTCAAGAGCAAGATGCAGACGGACGGCTTCGGCGCCGAGCAGAGGTACAAGACGATGCGCGACTGCTTCGCGCAGACGTACCGCGGCGAGGGGCTGAGGGGGTTCTGGAGGGGTATCGTGCCGACTCTGCTGAGGGCCATGCCTGTGAGCGCTGGTACCTTTGCGGTTGTCGAGATGACCATGAGAGCTATCAACTAGAGGGCCTGAGATGTGGGTTGTGTTCGGATGATAAGGTTTTGGAAAAGGCGGGCGACTGTCTAGGCGGAGCATATATCTGACAGGATCTTGGGTAGAGCAATATAGAGGATCTTCTGGATTACTGGCAACCTAACTTGAAACTTTCTCTGTCTGGTTAAGACGTCGGGATGACACGAACTGAAAGCTTCTCAATGTCTCATGGAGCCCGTCTTACTGTCGAAGCGCATCCAAGCCTCCAAGGAGTAACAAGGGAAACCATCGGTCAGAGAGCGGCGATGAAGCTTGGCTGAGTCATAGACAGCCCCGAATGGGATCATTTGTGCAGTTCCACGCCAAAGTCGATATGGAGCTGGTATAAATTGGGTCTACAGCTCATGTTATAGACGTTATTGGCAAGAATGGAACACGGGTGTATTTTCTGTAATGCGCAGACACTTTTTCTACAAGGTTACCGTGTCGTCGTAATCAGGGCAATCGAAAACCGAAAGCAAGTTGTGATAGTGGTAGCATGCGATGCAGGAGACTATTCCCCATTGTCCGCCAACTTCTTGACTTGATACACTTCGAATACTGGAGTTGCTGATACCAAAGGGGGCTTCAGAGAGCCTTTGCTTCGTGAAAAGGATTCGCGCTGGTGGCTGCCGCACCCACAGGGGAATGTGCACACAGCACTCCGGAATCAACCAGCGAATTCTCCAAGCGTATGACGCCCTAAATTTCCGCGTTGACTGTTACATTACGAATCATGTCCATTCAATTTATGCTGTACTGACTATCCGAAACACGTGTATTCTGCTCAGAAGAGGCAGCGGTGGGATTATAAAACTGAGCCCCATTTGTACACAACTTGCCAGCAAACCAATGGGCAAAGACTCCCGAGACCACTGGCATCTTGTCAGCAGAGGTGATTCTACCTTAGGACAAGAGGCCTTGGAGAGTCCCAAATACTCGCATTTATGTCTTTCAACTCTCAACTAAGCTTCCGACGCCTGTCATCCCTAGTTGTGCTGTATCCAGGCGTGAATCATTGAGACCTGGTGAGCAGAGATGTTGCCGTGGGAGGGAGTTCACACTTATAGTCAGATGGCAAATTTCATATGACAAAGTCTTAGTTGACAGATACCTTGTACACTGAGAGGTGACAACAAAAAAATGTTTCGTTCCGTCTGTTGGCTGAAAGTCTCGCGCCACATCCTGGGGAAATATAACTACTCACAAGACCGAGAACTCATGAAACCCCATGGTGGAACAGCTTACGAACGATTTGGCATCATCGGATCCAGGAAAATGTCTTAGAACAACCCTGATGCCGTAATTTATTGCTTTGCTTTAAAAGTCGAATAAGAGCCAATGGCAGAATGTGTGTTGTCATTACAGAGAGACAGAGAGAGAGAGATTTGCTACCTACGTGATAAGGCAGGCTTGTCAGACCTTTTGCTGAAACGATTGTTGGCTGAGTACTCTATGCGCAGTTCCCCGGATCCGTCCCGTGGGCCTGCTGCTCCTGCTGTATTCTGAACTTCGCCTGGCTAGGACAGACAGCAATGATTTCGTATAGGAGAGAAGTTTTAGGACTCTTGTCAGACTTTCTCGGCAAGAAGTGCATGAGAACAACATCCAGTTTTGACGGATTAATGCGTGTGGCGACATTCATGATTCACTTGCTTGTTCTTTCTAATCAGCCCTCCAGGCGTTTGAGGTGCAGCAGCAAAGCGTGATGTGTGAAACTATTCTCTGTCGTCCATCAATTCCATGAGATGGCTCCGCTGCCTACCTTGCCTCTGTATCCGCTAAAAAGCGCAAAGTCGCCATCGCCAACGTCGACAATGCCCCCGAGACGCCTTCCAAGAAGCCGAACAACGCGGCCGATATGTTCAACAGCCCCACCGCGTCTAACGCTTCTCAAGGCTCCAACACCCTTCAGACCGCGGTCCAGGGAAATTGACTGGCCAAATAGCGCTGTGACATTCGAAATTACTTAGTCCGTCCTCGCCGTTCTCTCCAGAACTTAGTTGCCTCTAGAACTTCAGGGCAGCCCTGCACCAGCCAACCCCATTTTCCTAAAAATGCAGTACTTATCTCCCAGCCCTTGACATCCCAAGCCTCTCCCCAGACAGCAAAAGGCGCCACCGCATCATCTGCATCCTCGACTCTCATCATATCGCCACATAACTCTTCCTTATTGATTATACCCGCTTCGATTCCTCGAAGAATATTATCTCTCATGACAGGAATTGGGAAAAGATCGATCCAGGGATGGTGCTGAATAGTTGTTTGCAGCGCAGTTGGGCGAAGCCCATCTGGCACGGATAACAACAAGGTGGCGGCGTCTTGGGGTCTCGGACCCTGTAAGTTGAATGGAGAAATGCATTCATCGTGATACATCTTCTCGAACGGAAAGTTCAGTTTCAGGGCGTTGATAGCCAACGCGTTGATGACATTGAGACGCGCGAGTATGGGTAGGTTACTGGGCCTCGGTCCGTTGATGCTACAGTTTACGATGACTGATCGCACAAACTCAGCTGCCTTCTCGTGGGATTTAGGACAGTGTAAGAGGATGTAGTTGAGTGGCCAATCGTGGCGGGCATTGCGCACATTAGAATGGCCACGCTTTGAGTCGTAGTCTCGTTCAGTGCGGCCATCAGACATTGTCCTGTCTTTGGCTATAAGCCAAGACTCGGGAATGTCGTTTGAGGCAGCGGCCGCACACCGCTCCAGATGTCTCTTTTTCCCTGCTCCTTATCAACATCTGGGCGTGGAAGGGGGACATGGTATAGGCGAAGACTAACGATGCGCCCTCTGATTCGAGCGATTTTGTCGCCTCCTTCTCTCAGTAGAACTGGCCACTACCGTCCAATTTTCTTTCCACTCACCCCCAGCTTCAGACAGATGAGCCATTGTCGCAGCAACCCTGGCGAAATGGTACTTCAACCGCAATGTAAAAGAGTCGAGAGTACTTGTAGCAAGTAGTGAAGGAGAAAAGAGAACGGGAGAGGGCCGCATAGAGAATATCAAACAGTAAGTATTCGTGATAGAGTTGCCATAACATCCGCACACGGGCGATACGGGGAGACGTGCCAAGCCGGGAAGCCGAAAATATTCCACTATGGTATACGGATAGTTCGCAAGTCCGTGCTGCAGGTTGATGACACCCCTGCTAGTCCGAACCCTCATCATATCTCGGAAGAGCTCCACTGTGTGGCATGGCACGTTGGGCTTACGCAAAATAGAGATCTGTTTCGGTACATTACTCACTCCTAGGCATCTCAAGAGCTTCTGCAACATGCTTGCTCCGCCGAGGCAAGACGTAGTCCGTAGTTGGGTGGGAAGACATCATGGTCAAGTATCTCCGTAATGTGGGATCCTGCTAGCGAGAGGACCACCGTCGTTTCCGACTTGGATAGTACGTAGAGCGTCTGAATATAAATTCCTCAAGCGTCCTTCACAGACCATCATGGCTCTCTATCATCAACACCCCTCAATCTCTTCGACAGTATGACGGAAACCAAGCGAACTGTCCTCATCACCGGGGGCACTTCTGGCCTTGGGTACCATGCCGCAACCAGCCTTGCCCGCCAACTCCCAGACGGCACCATCATAATTGCATCTCGAAGCGATTCGAACTCGTCAGCCGCTTCCATAAGGCAACTCACAGGGCACAAAGACGTTCATTTCCTCCCGCTCGACTTGGGCAATCTGCAGAGCATCAGATCCTTTGCCATCGCTCTCTCCGAGAGAGGCACGCCGCCAATCTCCATCTTATTGTTGAACGCCGCGATGCAGTTTCCCGGTGGTATCAAGTACACAAGTGACGGCTTGGAAGCAACATTTGGCAACCATGTTGGACACGCGGCCTTGTTCCACCTTCTCCGACCGTTTCTTGCAGAAGATGCCCGGGTCGTCGTAACGAGCAGCGCAACGCACGACCCAGCGCAAAAGACGGGTGTGCCCGATGCAGACTACACTTTTGCAGAAGAACTGGCACATCCAACTGGCGAGGCAGCCAAAAACAGCGGAATGCAGCGGTATGCAACAAGCAAGCTGTGCAACGTCCTGTGGTCGTACGCCTTGCATCGCCGGTTTGCTGGCACTCCGGGCAAGCAATGGACTGTCGTTGTGTTTGATCCAGGTATGATGCCTGGTACAGGCTTGGCGCGTGAAGCAGGACCTGTGTTCAGATTTTTCTGGCGCAGAGTGCTCCCCACACTCGTCCCATTGCTGCGTCGAGTCCTGTCTTTCAGTGTTTGGATGGCCCAGGAATCGGGGTCGAATTTGGCTTGGGTTGCATCAGAGACATCTACCAGCGGTGTGTATTATGATGCTAGAACCGAGATTAAGTCGAGTGTCAGCAGCTATGAGGTAAAGCAGGAGGATCTTTGGAAGTGGACAAGCGAGTATATTGCGAATATTTTGAACGAGGAGCAGGAGCTTGTAACGGACGAACTGTGCTAAACTATATATGTTGAGGAAGCCTCGAGGTTATAACCTATATGTAAGGATAATAGTTAGGCCTCTGGCCATTCACAGTGATTTTCACCTGCTTAGTGCAACATACCTGCTAAGTCCGCGCCTCCTGACAATACACACAACCTTCGGTCATATAACTGTATCCCACCAGCCCATTCAGCCAGAGCGCGCGTTCAAGTTTATGCGGTGGTATTCAGAGGGTTTGCTCACCAGTAGGAACGTATAGGGTTTCTAAAAGGACGACATTGCCCGGAAGCCCTGAGCTCTTGCCAGCCTAGGATAGATATAGTGTAGTGCTAGTAGAACGAAACACCGGTCACGAGTGCGAACGGACAATGTCGAGACAATGGCTGTGACTCTCCCCAACGGCCGTTCAAGGAGCCCATCCCGCACATTACCACGAAAGCTCCGGCACGCCTCCAAAGTGGCACGCATATATATTTAGCAACGGAAGTTGCCTTTGCAACACCTTGAGACCCAAGGCAGCAAATTCTTCCGGTCTGATCCAAGAGCACCAATTGGCTGTGTACTTCGAGCAACATAATGGCGGAGTCAAATTGCAATAACGCCAGGCAGACCGCGGACTCCCCAAAACATGTTTAAGATGTGGTTCAGTGTCACCGGCATCCTTAGGGTATACAAACACATAATCTGCAAGGATGATAGAGATAAAAGACGATCGCAGCCTCGAATTCCAACTCTTCTGGGAGACAGGTCTCTGACGAGGGTTCGGAGGTCTGCTGGACGAGCGAAGCGACGTGTTTGCCGCTGGGCTTCGAAGGACCACACCGCAACAATATAACGCGTCATTGTCCTGTCTTCCAGGGTATACACCTTGCTTTGAAGTGACATTATATACCTTCGGATTCCTCCGGATTTCCGTCAGACTGACGAACGCCCAGCTTTGAACGACACCCCTCGAGGTCCCGCTATGCATGCCTGTCAAAGTTTCATCAGACTATAACCTCAGTTTCGGGCTATATTATAGCCCGGCAGCCAGTCTGATGTTCATGAACACACGCAAAGATGTATGACGCCGTGGACGTTTTCAGTTGAGTAAGATATTGCTATCGAGTGCCAAGGCAGGGCCCCGTGGTGGCATCCCCTTTAACCAAGTCAAATTCTTGCGGTGTATTACTGTCTTACGTCCGTCCCCCTCGGCGTATTCAAGCTGAAGAAACCGACTACAACGACATGGCGAGCCCCCGGCAAGTCCCACGGTCACCCACTCTTCGCCAACCGGGACCTTGAATGACAACAACAACAAACACTTGTCGCACAAGGAGCCTCCTACTGAAGAAGATTCCAACTAAGAATCGATTGGTGTAACATTAATCGAATGCGAGAACACCCCCTTTACGCAACTGAGGGACCGGAGGACCCGTCAGTCCGCGACGCGGCTGAGTGAAACGCAGGCTTCTGGAGTTGAATGCCCAAACGTCAAGAGGCATGGGCATGATTGGAGACTGGGATATAAGAACCGCAAAATTGGCGATAGCTTGTGAGCAATGCCGCAGCCAGGGACTGTGTGGTGACTTCCGGATTCGGAACCCAGAGTGACACAACTCTCAAGACCATTTACCAAGTTTACTAACTATGCATTCATCGACAATCCCTCAGCGGCGTATGCCACCCGCATTCTCAGAATATTCCTTAAAATACACTTACGACGGCGACAGCGTGGAAGTGTATAGCACACTGATTGTACAACCTAACGGCTCTTCGTATACCTCAACCTGAAGGGCCCCAAGGGAGGTGTGTAACGGCGAATCTCACGGATCTCCATTCCTACAGGAGGGGCTAGAGCCCTGAAGATTTGCCCGATAACAGGAAGAGGTTCCCGAGAGGTACGGCTAAACAGTCCAAGGGTGGCCAGGCCCCAACGCCATCGGCTGAGCCTTCTTCTGATCGCAGTCGCACAAGGCACAGGATCACGACATAACTGGGAACTTCCACACGTGTCGGACGACATGCCTCACGACGTATGCATACTGACAAACGTCGCAACAACAAAAATGTCTCCAGAACACCAAAAAGAGACGGCTCAACGCCGTGAGATTGTGACAAGAGAGGGATTCGAACCCTCGCCTATTTCTAGACTAGCACCTGAAGCTAGCGCCTTAGACCGCTCGGCCATCTTGCCAAATGTTGTGGATGCCGAGTTGTGCGGACGTTCACGATCATTTGCCCTAGGTGGGGCGGGCGCGTGGTTGCACGGAGAGAGGTCCCGGGTGGGCCACGAAGTTGCAAAGGGTGGGTGCCATCTCTCAGCCCCTTGGATCTCGAAGATGGAAACTTTCAGGGTCTTCTTTGCGATCCACTCGCGGATGGGAAACAGAACAAAGGCATAGGAAAACAATGGGAAAAACGGGGGTAGGTAACAAGGGCTTTATGATGTTCCCGCAATGAAGCCGCGATGTTACACTGCCACCCGGCAGGCAACGCACGCCGGTCGAAAGTCTCCGGCCGCCCGCCCCATCGGTTTCCCCAGCCTCGGAGCTGTCTGTCCGCTTCCCACGCGTGCGCCAGGGGCTGACATCTTGGATCTCTCCGTGGCTGCCGATCAGGAACAGGAACGAGGAAGCTGTTCGGATGGAGAAAACAAGCAGGAGCTCAGGCAGTTTGCCACGTCGATCCTGCTCTATCAAACCAACGAACTTTGTTGGACTCACAACGTCTCTGGGAGTCGCAGAAATCTCCACCAGCGCTCGTTGGACAGGGATAAGTGCGCCCAGCGGTGTGGGCTGACGTTGGCGTACGACCGTTCCATTCGTGGCCGCTCGGGAAGGACCCTGACGGAGACCAGTGGACGTGTACCGGGCTCCTGTGGCCAATAAGGGGGTGCGGCCTGGACATGGCGCCGATAGCCCCTTCAGGGTTTTGGGCGGAGGGGAGAAACCTGCTATCGGAGTTTGCGAAGGCGAGTGCGAGCAGAAGATTCCCCCAATAGCCGACAGACTTCACCTGTGCAGCTCCAGAGATCGGCTCAGTCTCTTGTCAAGCTCGCCAGGGTTGTCTGACTGGCGTGCCGAATCGGCGGGCTTCCTGTTCGTCCATCACCCTCCACAAACTCCCTGACACTTCTGCAATAATACGGAAGCTTGTCGGCGCGAAACATGTTTGTAATCTTTGGGGGGTACTGCGTAAACGCACCTTGATGTCGGTGTGGTGGGATGGGGTGGGTGGCACACCGAGACTGCTCTGGACTTTTCGACAACCACTCAGGGGGTCGCGTAGGGAGCGGCGGGATTCGGGCACCACCTCGTTGCTGCCCGCAATCACAGATCCGCGGGAGCCCCGCAGATCAATGAGATCGGATAACGATCAGTCGCTAACCAGTTAACGAGATGTAACGGGAGGAATAAGCTTGTAAGCTTGTTCAGAGGAATCGCCCGGCATCCAGAGCTGTTGTTGCAGGGGCCTGGCGCTGCTGTCAGGCAGGGCGGCTGCTGCGGGTGGGCGAACAGTCAGCCAGCGGAACCCCTGACAGAGAGGCAACTTGCCATAGCCGCCGTAGTCAGTCCCAGCCCGCGACTCTTTGTCAGAAGGCAGACGAGCTGCCAGGGCCCATGAGTAACACCCTCACGTGGCCACGGAAGAGCTGCTGCGCGTGGCCAATCCAAGCGAGGACACCCAACGGCACTAGGGACGATGTGTGGCCGCGCGGAAGGAACACAAGGCAAGGCAGCACCGTGCCGCAGGAGATCTGCCCTTGTTCGTCCCTCTCGTCGCGTACCTGATGGCGTGCAGAATCGAAGTCACACTCCCCTCCATGTTGTGCGTGCCCGAGGCTCTGGATGGACTTTCTCCACATCGTTGGCCAGATGGCAAATGGAACGGTAGGACCAGACGTCTGGGGTGAAGGCGAGGTGGTAGGGGGCCAATTTCCCAGATCCGCATGGTTTTGAGATGCGGAAACGCGGCCGCGGCGATGGGAATCTGCTGAATTGCGCCGAACAGTCTGGATCGCGAATTTGTCACAACGGGTGGGCTAAGAGTGGTTGAGACGGCGATCGAGGCCAGCCGGGTATGGCGATGGACCACCGGGCGACGTGGATGCGGCGTCGCGAGCTGCACGAAGGGTCCCCCTATGCTCCCGATCCACGCTAACGCTGCGGCTCGTAGAGATCGAGGGGCGGAACCTTAATGAGAAGGTCAGAGGAGCCTCTGGCTGATTGGCTGATACCCGCTTAGCGCTGTTTCTCACACAGACATGGTCTAACACCCGGCTCCGGTGTTGAAAACCCGGGCGGAGTTGAGGGTCTGCCTGGGCCGTTCATTCTTTCTCTTCGGCAGCGTGCGGCCTTCCAACCGTGCCGCACATCTCCATCGCCGGCGATATCCACCCCGATGCTCCGAGTCGATGCGACCCGCACCTGAGGCATTTCAACGACCTGTCTCCGGGTACGGGTGCGGCGGTTGAAGAGACCCCTATTTCGTCATAATCGACCCTCAAGCCGAGACTTGGCCGAGTGTCGCAGAAGGACCTGGAATGTGACCAAGCTGCTGCACGTCTGCCTTGATTTTCGTCATAATCGTGCCTCGTAGAAATTGGTCGAATTTTCTTTCTGCCCGAGAGGACCCTGAAAAAAGAAAAAAAAAAAAAAAACCCAAAAAACCGCGGGGGATGACCAGGGGTTGTGCCTGAGTGACATATGCTAAAGTACCAAGGTACGTACTGGAAGAGGAGAAAGATGGTTGGAAAGGCTAGTACTGCGTGCTCTGGTCAGGCCAGTGAATGGCGTGGTGCAGTGGCAACGAATTGTGTCGCGCGCCATGACAGAGAGCCCCCTCCATTCTCGACGTATTGGCGCACTGCGTAGTCAGACGGTGACGTGCCATGGTGCAAGGGCTGGCCTGTCGATCAAGCTGCAATGATGGAAGAGGAGGACTGTGCAGCCAATCATCGGATCCGGAGGGGTGGCTGTTGATCACGGACGTCCCTCCGGAGGCGTTGACTGGTCGAGCGAAACGTCTCTGGGCCTGGCGGGAACAGCAGTGAAGAAGACTCTAGGGTCCTGGGGGTGCGCTGAGAAAGAACAGCGACATGAAGGTTGGCAGATCCCATGACAATTGATTGGCACTGCGACGACCCTTTCTGGAGGCTGCATCGGAGTCGCGGTGTAGAGTAGGATAATAAGCAGGGTGGCAGGCTGATGGTGGGAACACGTGCGTTCGTGGGCGTCGATGCCGATGTCGATAATCAGCAGATAAGAGAATCTGGCCCGGGCGGATTTTCTTCTGCGATTTGGCTGGTCGTAGACGGATGGTTGGGAGCGACGAGAGGGAGGGCGAGGGCGAGGGCGAGGGCGGCAGGCTCGTTGTCCTTGAGGAAAAGGCATCGGCGATGAGAGGCGGCATGAAATGAGACCGGGCGGGCTACGTGTGCGTGTGCGTGCTCAGCCGATAGTTATTTCAATAACAGCGAGGAAGGCCAACTAATGCTGTAAGTCGGAGCGGCGGCCGGGTGACCGAAGCCTCGATGACACGGCAAAAGCGAGATCGTGGGCTCACGGAATTGCGGACTGGCCCCTGAGGAGACGGGGCACCGTGTGGCCCGTGTCATTGGTGGAGGGCCGGGGATTGGCTGCAGCGACAGGCCCGGACTCGGGGATTCTCCGTTGACGAATGCACGGCCGGCTGACCTGACCTGACCTTCAGTGGGAACGGAACCTACTGCTTGCTAGGTACGGATACAAAGCTGCCTGTCGAGCCATGCCCTGCCATGCAACCCAGGACGCCGTGTCTGCCGCTGCGTCGCTGCGTGACAGGGCCGGTACCTAGGCTGCGGACGTGATTTAGGGCAGAAGAAGAAAGCATTGAGCAGGTTTTCCAAGTGCCGAAGTTCAGTCAGAGTTTGCCCAGATCATCGGGCTGGCTGGCCTGTCTTGCGAGTCGGTAGTGTACAGATGCAACGATACAGCCTGCCTGGGCTGATAGCATCCGCCCAGCGGCGTCCTGGTGCTGGACCACACTGTGACTGACTGCGCTGCACTGGTCTCGGCTGCACAGTTGCAGTGGGATTAGCGTGACGTAAGCGAGCACTAGTCATTGGGGTAGTCCTGGCCAAGAGTGAACGGTTTCGATGGCCCGCCAGTCTGTTGCACTCTGTCTTGGTTGCGGTAGGAATGTCCTACGCGGTAGCCGTCGAACTCATTCCACTATGCCGTCGACTGAGGTGTTCCAGGTGTCGCCTGTCGCCGGTACTCACGACGGGTCGGGTTGAGCGTCGGAGAGCTGTGGGTGTGGTGGTGTGGTGCTGTGCCCGGCGAGGGTGGTCTGGCGTGCATACGAGGAAACAAGCACAGCCTTAACCGCCGGGAACAAGTGAACTTCTTTTGGACTGCGCTGCGATGAAGCAGCGATCGGCTCCTGAATTCTTCAATCGCAGGCTGCGGTGATTGGACAAGCGGTCCTGAAGCCACTCAGAGTTCGGGGTCTGTTCGTGGGGCACATGGCTCTGGTGACGGATTGCTTCAGCTGGACGACTGATCCCTACGGCGGATTTCCTTGGACAAGGTGACAAGGCTGGGTAAGCTGAGCAACGACAACGGCGAAGGATGGTCAAGCCAGGGAAGCCGGCTTGGGGTCCACGCGGGCGACAGCAAACCTTGACCAACTTTCAAGGCCTGTAGAGTACATTCTGCGTAGAAGGACCTTGGGAACGGTAATAGCCGCGACGGAGGCTTCTACTGTTGTTGAAAAGTTGGCAGTTGCCACCGCAATCAGTCAGGTACACGTGACGTCCGCAGGCGCTCTTTCCTCGGTCGGGAGCTTCAGTGGACAAAGCTAGACGAGACCTACTGGAAAGGACTGGACACTACAACAGGTGGAAGGCATGAAAGAGGGCCTGGTGCTTCTTCTTCCATTCCATGCATCCATTCCATTTCTTCCACCTCGCTTGGTCGTTGCTGCTGGCTGCTTGCCGCTGATGCCCTGGAACGTACTCCGTGTCCGTGGTCCGCCCAGCGGATAGAGCAGCAACCAGACGGTGGACCAGACCAAGTGAACTAGAAAACAAAACACACGCCCCCTTCCTCGTTGCGCCACGCCCTCCTCAGTCGCCCCACCTTCCTCTTCGATTGACTCCGATCCCAAGACCCCTGCTTTTCCCTGGAGATCAGACCAAAGAGCATTCGAGCTGGTATGGGGCCGCACCTGCCACCTGCGCGTGGGGAACTGGCTAGACCTCTCGAAACGTTTCGCAACCTTGAACTCGACCTCGCTCACCTCTGCCAATTGCTCCCGTCTCCTGCCTTGCAGCAGCACGGCATCTCGACACTGAGCGAGCCAGCCAGCCCATCGCCAGCCCAAGAGGTAGGTGGTGGTGGTGCAGCTTGCTTGCTTGGTAGGGCATGGGCTGAGATCCCATTGCCGTGGTCCCCATCTTCGCAAGCCCTTGCTGGCCCTGGGCTGCCTATGCTCTGCAGTCTACACCCCTCCCCTACCCGGGACTAAACAAATCTAGGGTACTGGTGCTGCGTGGATGGATGGATGGATAGATTGCCAGGAAGGTAAGAGGTAGGGTAAGTGGTAACTCGTGAATAGCCCCCAACTCAAGGGTGTGCCGTTCGTGCCTCCTGCCGTCGCCCTCCCCAAGCTCCTGTTCCTTGTCTTTGACCCGACGTAGATTGGCCTTGTATTGTCCGATTTTGTTGTTCGCCGGAGAGGGGCGTGGGGTCCAAGTACCAACTTCTTCTCAAGATCACTTCCAGCTATACTCCTGCCCTCTCTCACCACTCTTGCCTCTCGCCATCAATATCTCCGACATTCAGCACTCAAGAAGCCCGAATTTGCAACAGCCTCATCTTCATATCCGTGTCGCTGTCAGGGACTGACCAACGACTACTTCGACGCATCCAGCTGCTTCCGCTTGTCGACCCGGCACCCACACGTCCACCACGCGACAATCACCGGTCCACTCGCCGGGAACCCGAACAATATTGCTTCGCTGTCACGAGAAAACGATCCAAACGGGCCAAACCTCTGAAGGTCCTTGTTTGAGCAGTGTATCTCGACTCAGCATCCGGATCTGTGTCCATCGCCTGTGGGAAAACCATCTGCAGTGACCTTTGCATGGCTCGAGAGACCAGGAAGCGACCCATCGCCACTTCTGAGTGATTCTTGGCTTCCCACACGGACGCGGAGACGAATTCTTTCGCACCGAACCCCACCGACATACCCACACGGCGCCTCGCAACTTGTCGACATCTTCGTTTTCCCGCGACCCTGGATTATTTATTCTAGTCCCTGACACCCACCAAAGGGCAAAAGCAAAGGCCAGTGGCCTCTGCGGCCTTATTAACGCCGACGACTGACTGATCGCTGTCGCGCCCACACCTGGCTGTCGGTTGCACGACATCGCCCGCGACAGTGAGATTTCGCCTGCGCCAGCAGCAGCTCGGTCAATTAACGCGGCTCAGCACTGGGACTTTTTAATAGTTTTAGCGGTCGTCTGAGGCGCAGGCTGTTGCCAATATTGTAGGTGTTACCCTCTCACAGTGTCGACTTCTGACGAAGGTTGTCGTCATACCTCGCTCTGAGCTTTCGATCGATCGATCGATGCTTCAGCCAATCACAGTCCACCATCACCCTCGACATATACAGCCTTCCACCTCGACAATACCAAACCGCCGTATTTACTTTGAATTTCTCAATACTGACAAACCGTCAATTCAACAGAAGCAACCGCTACCCTTACGACTATCTACACCTTTCTTCCACTTGGACAAGTGGAACCCACCGACACGACGGCTACCACTACGACAACCAACTCACCACCAAACCCATGCCGCAAACGTAGCGCGACTCATAGTACTTACAACAACCGAATACCACAACAGGCTATAGACCGACGACTCTATGCCGCCATCATGCCCGACGTTAAGCACATTTCAGGGGCTCAGCCCCCGACGTCGCCCAAAGGCCACCCGCTTCCGCGCCGCTCGTCACCCGAGAATTCAGTAACCCTCCAGCACCATCGCCTGGCTCGTCAGGCGAGCGAGACAGCAGCATCTTCGCGCGCCGCAGCCGCAGCCAGCTCTGGATCTTCTGCTTCGCCTCGGCGACAATCGTCGGGTGAATCACACAACACTGGACCTAGCGACCCGAAGAGATGGTTTGACCAGAACAATGAGAATCCCACCGCCGAATACTCCATCGCCATGGATGGTAAGTCATATGGGTTGAGAAGTGAGTATCTAAAGTCTATTATCTGACACGACCTGATTCAGTTGATCCTCCTTTCTTTCAGAAGGAGAGCGATTCCTCTAATGAAGACGTGGCGAAGGCACCCGGCAGTTATCCTCAACACCTGCTTAAGCCTCCTGTCACCGGTACCCTCAAGCCAAGTGCTACACATAGCAGCAGCGCCGACGACTATCGAAGCGTTATCGACGACTTGACTATTGAGATCAAGAAACTCAGGGATGAATTGAAGCGACACAAGCAGAGAGGCCCTGAAATGATGAAGAGGGACAAGCTGTTCGAGATTAAGGTTCACGGGCTGCCTAAGCGAAAGAAGAGAGAACTCGAGAGCACCCTCCGCGAGTTTGCGGCTGGTTTGGAGAGCAACACACCGAGCGCTGAGGCATCCTCAGCCCGCCAGAAGTCCAGACACACCACCCGGCTAGATTCCGGATCCGGATCTATGTCGAAACATGCATCGTCATCTTCCGGTTCCCAATCCCGGCCAGTTGACTCTGCCTACGCTTCCATGTCGACGGGCGCCCACTCATCCGGCACATCTCTTGCGCGGCCATCAATCAGCTCCAGGGCACGATCATCGGAGCAGAAGGTGCAGAATTACTTGAAGGACATACCCGAGGGATTGTATCCGCGACACATGGTTATGACGGATAAGGATAAGAAGAAGCTCATTGTGCGACGATTGGAGCAAATTTTCACGGGACGGATTACCGGTAGGAACTTCACCCGCCATCAGCCGAAGTCTGCGGCGAATATTGCCCAAATGGCGCCCATTATGGTAGAGCCTGCTACTGGTCATACAACTACCAATCATGGTCCGGCCAACGTCTTCACGGCTTTGAACGAGCCCTCTCGAGAAGCTCGCATTCTCGCGTCCGAGGAGAAGAAGGGTCAGCCCAAGGATAACACTTCAGCAACGAACTCGAACGACCAACCGGACTCCGGAGGTAACTCGGCCGTCACGCAGAATAGCACATCGCCGCCCGATGCTCCGCCCCCGGAGCAGCGACCCACCCGGCCGCGGGATTTGGATCCCGACCGGCTACAGAATCCAACTGAAAACATGGACTACATCCGGCATCTGGGCCTCGCACCTCCTCACTTGACGGGCCTCGCAACTTACGATGACGTCTCTCCTGACGCGGATGGCTGGGTTTACCTCAACCTGCTGTGCAATATGGCCCAGCTTCACATGCTCAACGTCGCTCCCGACTACATTCGCACCGCCGTCTCCGAGAGGAGCACAAAATTTCAGCTGTCGCCAGATGGCCGTAAGATCCGCTGGCGTGGAGGTATGGAGGGAACCAAGTTTAGCAGTGATAGTTCTGGAGACACGTCTCAGATGAGTCGCTCGGACGAATCCGAAGAGGCCGAGGCGGATGGCCAGCGGAAGAAGCGCAAAGTCACACAACAATCCAAGAGCGGTCACCTGTCCACTTCGTCGGGGAAGCATACGTCAGACTCCAAACTGGGTCACCAGATTTCTTCGGCCGACAGTTTCCACTACAAGCCTATGTTCCTGCATCAATCATCCTCTGCCGAGCAGACATCTCTGGATGACACCGGATCTTCATTCGGTGCCGGCGGTGAGGATAGCAACAACGGCGAATCGCGATGGGGAAACAGCGGATCTGGTTCAACCCGTCGAAAGAGGAAGCGTCTGGATGGAGCCATTATCTACTACAGCGGAGCGCCTTTCTGCACTGATTTGTCTGGAGATCCCGGCGATTCGTCTCCTTCATCTTACATTACTTCGACTGGTCAAGAGCAGCAGCAATCTACCGGTACCGGATTCCTCAGACCTGATGCGCCTCATCGCACCGACTCAGGCTCAGCACTTCCGTATCGACCACTCAGCGACGGAAGAAAAGTTCCTAGCGTTGCCGTAGGGACTGAGGAGACCGATTCTGACATTGATGTGGAACTCGAAGCCGAATTCCCTTGGTCGGATGCTCCTCAAAATACTCCGCAAATCATACTGGAAGCATGTGGACTCAGCGGCGTAATTCCCGATGACCATTTCACCGTCATTGCAACAACCAGGCGCGCGAAGAAAGATCCTGCTACGACTTCGTGCAAGCTACGGCCAGAGGATGTCCCGGATCTGGTGCATCGAATCACATCGCCCTTCAACTCGTCGTCCACCCAGGTATTGGGTCAGCCGCAAACCACGACGGCCTCGCCCCGCAGCAACATTCAGTACACAGCAAGAACCGTCAAGAAGTTGAACCCTGCGCCACTGCCTCCTCCGGGAATGTACTTCGCTTTTGATAGTGACTCGGATGAATCGGAATCATCCGACTTGGACACTGATCTGGACCCTGAGCCCAGGCCTTCGATCGGCACCCGTGCACTCCCGCATGTGTTCGAGAACACCTACCCTGAAGATGAAGAGATGACCAGCGGAGACGAGGAGGGAGAGGAGCCGGATGATGGGGATGAGCCGAGTGAAGAAGCAGGAGACGACAGCAGTGAGGAGATTAAGATTCCCACTCAACCAAGAGACGCTCGCCGCACCAGCAGCAGCAGTGCTGTGGCTGCCGCTGGTACTGTGCGAGGTCGAAGCAAAAGTTTGAGTGCTGAGCTCCCAGCTGCAACGGGCAGTTCTGTTGCCACAGCTGGCGGGGCTGAGAGCGGCTACAGCAGTGGTCGCGAGGAGAGTGGCTGAGAAGGGTGATTGACATCGGAGGAATATGATCTGGAGAAACATTCACCATTTATGGCTCAAACATCTTTGTTTAACTGTGGGGCATTGCGAGGAGTTACACCGGGCGAAAGCGTTCAATACGATACAAAGTTGCACAACACCTGTCGCATTTGTTTTTTCGCAGTTTGGATAGTTGCACGGAGGATGACTATCGCAAGCCTGCAGAAGACGAAAATATTCATCGCGAAAAGTGCTAGGGGTTGGCTATAGATGAGGAGTTTCGAGAGCGTTACTTACAACAACAACTGATACCCCTTTCAACAATTTGCCTGGGTTGCTCTGGATTGCTTGACGAGCTGAATTTGAACTTGTAATGTTGCAGATGTTGCTGAGCAGGTGTTCCGTCATCACGGCTAATTGATAATGCAAGCCTATGCGGCGGTAATAGTGAACTAGTAACGACGATGTGGGATGCATCGGATGCTTTTCTGTTTAAAAGGCCCATCCCGGCTCCCATAGACCACCAAACGCAGACAACCAGCAAAATCACATGAATGCCATCACGTGAGAGAGTCGTTGAAGGGTTAAGCAGAAGGATTGGCATTTAAGATTCACAACTCTGGGGGGCTGGTGGTGCTTGATGGTGTGGAAGATGCGGGAGTCTGGGGCTTCTATCGTCGTCGTCGTCGTCTTTGGTAGTGTATTTCGAATAGTTTACGGGCACTTTTCTGTGGATGGCGGTTCTTTAAGCACGGATGGCTTTTGAATCGGGGGATTGGTGGTGGCTGATGGCATTCCGAGGTCATTAGGCGAGAAGTGGTCCCTTGAAATTGGGGGGCACTGATGAATGGAACTATGCTGTCACTCTACCCGACATTTGTTCTGGCATGTTCAGTTGAATGGGATTGAGGTGTTGTGTTTTGCATACCATAGAGGTTTGGCAGGCGGCGGTTGTGGTATAAAAAGGGGCGATGCCATCCTGAACAGGGGTTAGTCCTTTGGCATTGTAATTACCGGGACCTTCTCCACAGTTCCGTTTTCACAGTTGGTCGGACGGACTGCATACTAATCTTGGATGCGAGTGATCTCTTCGTTTCTGGCCAGTGGCGTTTTTCAACGCGGTGTTCATGCTGAGAAGAGTTGCAGTGGATGGCTTACCAACACCAATATCTGGATATTACTTCTGTTGGGTGCTGTTGTCGTCGTATTGCCAGATGACGTTGAGGTATATTAGGGTTGCCTGGTCCTGGGTGACTCAAGGAAAGGTTTAGGAGGCATCAGACTAAGGTGGGTTGGTGGTCCGCAGCGCTGGTGACCATTAATCGAGGTTTTCAAAGGAAACTTCCATTACATAGACAAAGCGAATAAAACTATTTCCTGTGAAGTGCTTAATACTAACAAACCTGGTCTTGGAATATACATATACTCTGTGTTGCCGGCGCTGTGGGTAGTTTTGCGTGGCGAGAACTAGCAACTTGAGGGTCCATCTGCTTCTAGGACCAGTTTGCTGTCTGCAGTTGGTATAAAAGCATCTTTTGGTAGACAAACTAAGAGCCACCAAGGAAAATGAACAGCGCAACTCGTACTCCAATTCAAGTTAACCCTGGTATGATGTTCTCTGGCGGTGTTGGCTTCAGAACATGTGTGACGTGTCGCGACGAGGGGTTTCGCTTCTAGGCACTCCGCTGCTTCCCACTATTGTAGTAATGGTATTCGCAGCGTAATCTGCCCCTCTGATGATCAGGAATGTGTTACGATATGGTTGGTGAGAGCGCCGGGTGTCTTTACGAGAGACGAGTGTGCGGTGTTGCCGCTCAGAGTTCCCGCCGCATCCGCTCACCAACCCACGCATCCAAGCACGCTGAAATGCTGGTTCTGCGACAAAATTGTCTTTGGCGAGAAATTTCAAAGGCTTGACTGCCCGCTGAATTTACATCCATTTAAATCATAGCCTCTACCTAGAGCGCCGTGTCTCGGGGCGTATTTAATCACTCCTTCCCACGCGTAGATGCGATTTCAGCGGCAATGAACAGGCGCTACGTTCTTACTGAGCTTGCGGTTGGAACCCTCGCTTTCAAACTTTGAGATAATTTCCTTCCGCCACGGTTATGGTAGTCTCGAATTAATGAAGATTCTGGCATTTGATAGCGAACAACAAGGGCGTAGTCTGTTGTAGAAGTGAGTGTATACTCTCGCGACAGAAGAAACGATAGACGTCTGAGGTAATACAATGGGTCGTGGTTCGGTATCCATCGTTCTTCCTGTCCTCTCGACCACTAAACCCGGCGGGGACACTACCTTAAAACGCAACGAGTACTGCAGCATTTATAAAGGCACAGACCGGAGAAACTCCGAACATTGTTGGTTCGGTTTAGTCTGGTTGAAATGAAAGGGCACATGTTTATATGAGGCTTGTGTGAAACTTGTTTTTAATATAGAGTGTCTTTGAGAATCCATGAAAGTCAAGACATGATGAGGCGACGAGCTTTCTACTTAAGAGCTTTGGTCAACTTAGATTTTAACAACAGGTTTCTCCCGAAAGACATTCGTCACAATTCGGGCACATCGTTTGCATTTGGGTTGGAACTTGGACACAGGTATCGAACTTCAATCATCAATGTCGGAGGATATCTATATATTAACAGGCTAAAGCGAGTGTTTGTTCCGTTCGAATTGACATGAGACTGCCCTCCTGCGCTGGAATCTCCAGAGTATTCGCGTTCATACGGAGGGACAGCTGGCAAGACCTCGGGTCTAGCTGAACTCAGGCGCGTAAGAAATTGAATCATCTGGGCTCTAGGCTTAACTCATATCACCCAAACAAGATGAGACGCACACCAAACAACTTCGGATGACCGTACTGATTTCAAGACCATTCAAACAATGGCTGCGGTCGCAAAAACGACTCGGATGAATCAATTCCATACAACAATGAAATCATTGTCACCAACTCGACCAAGTCTCACATGCACATCAAATGCACGCAAGGTGTGGCTATAGCCGTAGAACGTGAGGTCCAACAGCTTCGACCTTCACGACCACCTCGGTAAAAGAAAAAAGTGTCGTTCTGTCACATATCTCGTGTGATATTAGATGGATAAGGGCGACAAAACTTCGGTACGATTCCACCATAGTTGTTATTTGATTTCATTGACTCTTCTGTAACAGACGTGATCGCATGGACCAGCACTTTGAACCCAACATTGCATTGTCGCAATAAGACGTACATAGATCAATGAGAAGGAGGCCGTATGACAGGACTAGAATTCTATGTCATATCAAATATGATAACTGTGATAGCTGTGCTAGTTGCGATAGATTGGACTTGAATCTTCTCGACGAAGGCGTAAGCTGCATATAAAACCATGGAAATTCGTTCTGACTTGAAGGGCCTTGTACATGACATTACAACACTCAAATCACATAACCTTCCTCTATTTACAACAGAACAGCAAACCGGGCTCCAGACCACTATCTTCAACTTTTAGAACCTACACGTCAGCAAGCAAAATGATTTCCCAAACTCTCGCGAAATTCCTGCCGTACTTGAGCTTCATGGTCGGTGCCTCCCTGTGGTCCAAATCCGGACGCAAGCCCACCGACGACGCACTCATCATCTTCATAATCGGTGCGCCCGGCGCAGGAAAAGGCACGCAGAGCACTTTCCTGGTCAAGCGCTTCGGCCTACAACACCTCTCGTACGGAGATCTGATGCGCGGTCTGCGTAAGAGCGGGGATCCGGGAGCATGCGGGCTGAAGACCAAGCCCAACACCGGAAATCCCAGCGTCCCCGACGATATGGGCGCCTGGTTGTTGTGGCGGGAGATTCGGAACGGAGGACTCGAAGGTAAGGAGTTCTGGCTCGTGGACGGCTTCCCTCGACGACCCGAGCAGATTGAGGAATGGCTTCATTTACTGCCACCCGCGGTCTTGACGGTATACCTGAAGTGTCCTCAGGATATCTCTAAACAGCGTGTAGCATCCCGGGGCGAGGAGGCTGGGCCGGAGGCGAGACCGGAGGATCTGGATCCTGAGACGGCGATGCGCCGGATTGATGAGTTCCATAACAATGTGGATTTCGTGGTGGCCAAGCTTAAAGAGAAGGGCATGACGGTCTTTGAGGTGGACACGAATCGTAGTCCAGAGGATGTCCAGAAAGAGCTGGAGAAGACCATGAAACCTTTGATCAAGTCGATTTCGTCGATTCAACGGTCTTAATCAGAGTCGTGGAGGGAAGTTAGCCATCTACACGTAAATTGAGAGCTTTAGACGTAGGAGTTGAAGAAGACATGGTAATATCCCATAATACAGCTTCGGCTGTCCTGCTCTTTTTTTAAAGTTGGTAAAGTTTCGATCCAGCCTGCTACCTTCTGCAGCTAGTACCATTTCTATACTAGGAAACTCTATGATTACAGAAACCACTAGGAACTCGTATTTCTTATCACAGTTGAGTCTCTTTCTAGATCTTCGAAACGCCTAGTTTCAAGTTGACCCCGCTCGCAGCTCATGCAGATGCCTGATTATTTTGATCACTCTCTCCCTGTCCGAAAGATCTTCAAAAGACCACTTGGCGCCTCTGAACAGCTTCAGACATGCCCATAAAGCCAAGAAGACGAAGATCTGCAGTCAGAGTTAGCGACAGAGAACCTCACGAGGTGGTTATCTCCTCACAGCGAGATACGCCGACAAGAACGGCAAGATGTTGAAACTTTTCCAAAGTGCTGCGCCATTCGAGACTAGTAAAAGAAATAGACAACTGATCAGGGCCATGTAGGCTAGAAATGGCTGTCCATGACTTCGATAGGGGTAGTCGCTTCTTTCGTAGTTCCAGCGCTGGACTTGGGCAATCTTTCGGCTCTCAAGGGCATGGCGATGTCTGTCAATGCTATAAAAGATTAGACAAGCATCTCCGTGTCAGAAAGAGTCTACATACCAATGGTAGTATCGAATGAAAGCCAGACATTGGCACGCCCAAACAATCACAACACCAGCAGAGCCCATCTGGGCCAGGATCTCTATGA